GATATGGAAGATATTGTTATTAATTTAATAAAAAATAAAACAAATAAAATGAGATTAATCTAATTTTTTGACTTTTTTTTCAATTTTAAATTCTAATTTTTTATTTTAAATATATTTTCTATAACAAAAGAAAAAAAGAAAAATGCCACAAAATTTTCTATTCTTTTTTTTCATTACCTAAAATTATTAATTGTTCTTTTAGTTCAATCACAAATAATACTACGTGATGATTTTGATGTACATTTTACACCTTTACAATTTTCCAAAGATTATCGAACACAACTCTTTCTATCAGCACCAATGCAAAATTGTCAACCATTCACCGTTGCTACATTTCGTCGCAATCGTATGAAGCTAATTAATGTTAAGTCTGATATTATTTTCGATGGTATTACTAATGAATGGAATTATCGTATTAATGATGCAATCGTTGGTTACGCATCAAAGTTTACTTTTATCTATATAACTAATTAAACTTTTTACCTGTATTATATCTATACAACAAAGTTTACCTGCAACATAATTAAATCTTACCTGTAGCATATTCAAGCATTTACCTCTACAATAACTTAACTTTTACCTTATCTCAATTAAGCTTATATCTATATCATAATTAAGCTTCTACCTGTATTACACTTGAGATTTTACCTGATTTTTTACATTCTTCTTTTTCTCTCTTCATCATAAAATTTTCACACTCTTTCAATATTATCCATTTAAAAACTTTGCATCATTTTTTCCGGTTTTTTTGATTTCCGGACTGCACGCATTCCGAATTTTGCCTTCCTAAAATTCCCACAATGCAATATTTCGAGAAATTCATTGAAAATATTGTTGAAATTATTCACTTTATTGAAATTTCGATTAATCAATTTCACAATTTTTTCATTTTAAATTTTTACAATTTAGATATTTAAAATTTTTAACAGGTAAAAAAAGAGAAGGTAAAAAAAAGTTTTTGATTATATCATATAATATAAGGATTTTAATTGCGACAAATCAAATGATAAATATTTAACTTAATTAGATGGTTAAAAATGATAAAAATGATAAATATTTAACTTAATGATAAATATTTAACAAATGATAAATATTTAACTTAATTAGTTGGTTAAAAATTAAAAAAAGGAATTTAAAATAAAATATGATAACTGATAATTTTTCAGTAACACAATCTTTCAATTACTTCATTTTGAAACTTATCAAAATCTTTATTCATTTCTTAATATTATACCTGCATACTCGCAATATCATACCGGACGAATGTGTTTTCTTTTTAAGAATGAAAGTGAACAATTATTTGTTAGTACATTTATCGGATAAATTATTAATTTTAAATAGCATTTGAAAATAATTTTCTTATCATTAATTAAAAGCAAATATTTGAATATGTTAACAAAAAAAAAAACAAATATATCTTTATCAAATTAATTAAAAACAACAAAAATAAAATATTCAAATAATATATAAATTTACATTTTATGCAATGAAAAATTTACTTCAATATAACATTTATAAAATATTCAATTTAAAATTAATTTTAACTAAATTGTTGCAAGCAATTATCGTTCCAAATAAATTTTAAATATTAAATGAAATAGTTTAATGTTTAATTAATATGTACTGTTTTCATTTTATAAATTTTTACGAAATTTATATTCAACAATTAGCCAATTTTTCATGTATTAAATAAAATTTGAAGAAATATTCATTTTTTTTTTTGCATTTAAATTAATATGCTATTTTCATTTTACGAAATTCCTTAAAATTTATATTTTTAACAATTAGCTAAATTAAGCAAAAAATTTCAGGTGTTAAATTTGAATATTTCTATATTTATTTAACATACAATTTTTTTAACTTTTGTATAAAGTTTATTTCAATTAATATGTAATAATTAACTAAATTAATCAATAATTAATAAGTTTTATCATTTCTTCCTTTTTTCTTTCCCATTATTTTATTTCAATTAATATATAATAATTAACTAAATTAATCAATAATTAATAAGTTTTATCATTTCTTCCTTTTTTTTTCTTTCCCATTATTTTTATTTC